TCAGGCCCGGATGGGTACATTTGAGGGTTCTTCGAGAATTGACAGGGGTTCTGTTGTGTCCATTGGCCTACATTTTTGAGTCCTCATGGAAAACAGGAGATGTTCTGGAGGACTGGAGGGTAACATCAGTGGTTCCAATCTTCAAAACAGGAAGCAGAGGGGATATGGGGAACTATAGACCAGTTAGCCTTGCATCCATTCTGGGAAAGGGAAAGCTCTCGAAACCCTGGATAGGGATGGGAGGTTGGCAGCCACACAGCACGGATTCCATAAGAGCAGATCCTGCCGGACGAGCCTGGTGGGAATCTATGTTAAAGTCTCGAGGTGGCTAGGTGAAGGGGGCGTGCTGGATGTGGTGTACCTGGATTTCAGCTAGGCCTTTGACAAACTGCTGCAGGATATCCTGCCTGAGAAATTGTTGAGCTTTGGGATAGATCAGTGCATTGGCCAATGGATTGGGGCATGGCCAGCGGAGCCCCCCAGGCCTCAGTTCTGGGACCGATTCTGTTCAACTTTTTTATCAATGACCTGGAGGAGGGAATAGTCAGTCCTCTGACTAAATTTACAGATGATACTACAGTGGCCTCGGAGGCCACAACTGGGGAGCAGGTGATCCAGATCCAGAGGGATGTGGACAGGCTGTGGGAGTGGGCAGGGGACAGCGGGATGGCGCTCAAGACAGATGAGGGCAAAGTCTTGCACTTGGGACCGAGGAATGGGTGTCACAGTTCCAGGATGGGGGGCAGGTGGCTGGAGAGCAGCGCTTGTGAAAGGGATCTCAGGGAACGTGTCGAGAGCAGGCTGAACATGAGCCAGCAGTGTGACGTGGTGGCTAAGAGGGCAAACGCCACTCTTGGTGGTATAGCTTATGGAATGGGCTTCCAGGGAGGTGGTTGAGTCCCCATCCGTGAGGGTGTTCAAGGAAAGATTGGACAACCATGTATTGTGGGTGGCATGAGTGGAGCCTGCTGGAGCCGGGGGTCAGACTAGATGGCCCCAGGGATCCCTTCTGATCGCTGCGTTTCTATGTCTCTAAGTGCCAGTGGCCCAGTGGGCAAGCCATGTGCAAGTGACGGTCTGTGCTGGCGCGCTCCCAAACAAGCGATGGGGCAGGTCTCTTGGCCGACAAGGCAGTGGCTCCAAGAACCAAGGGCAGTGGAATTGAGTTAGCGCATGATTTTTTGCACAGCACATCATTGGCTGCCACAGGAAGTAGTGATGGCCATCAACTTGAATGGTTCAAAAGGCAATTGGGCGTCTGTCTGTCTGTCTGTCTGTCTGTCTGTCTGTCTTTCCTATTACAAGCTTTTATATACCATCCCGTTACTTACGTCTCAGGACGGATTAGAGTTCTGGAGAAAAGGCCTCGGTGCTTACGAGCCTTGATGGTCAGTGCTGTATAGCGGTTAGAGTGTTGGACTGGGAACCTGGAGATCCAGATTATTATTATTATTATTATTATTATTATTATTATTATTATAACATTTCTATGCCGCCCCTTGCCGAAGCCTCGGGGCGGCTTACAACACAATAAGATACATTGAAATACAATAGAACATAATAAATTACCAATAAATACAAAAATACAAGAAATACACTAAGATACAATAATATAAAATTAAAATTAACAGTATAAAATGAGTAAATAAAGAATATAGGAGGAGGAAAGAGAAGGAAGAAGAAGTTGCCCTGGCCAGATCATGTATTTTAACAATTAAAATGATGTTTAAATAAAAACTTCTTTACCTGGCGCCGAAAAACCAGTAACGACGGTGCCAGGCAGACCTCTTTGGGGAGTGAATTCCATAGCTAGTCTCCACTTAAGCATGGGTGACTTTGGGCCAGTCACAGGCACTCAACCCAACCGATTTCACAGGGTTGCTGTTTTGAGGTTAAAACTGAGCTATGTAGGCTGCCTTGAGTTCCTCGCAAAAGGAACAAGTGCAGAATATAACAAATATGATAAAATAATAACATTTATTCCGCCGCGTGCTGGCAAGGCCTCTCTCTGCCCTAATGCTCCATTCCAGCTGGTAGTGAGAAGGAATTTAAAGACTCTGGGAGGGTCACTGTGAGTCTGAGCAGAGGCTTCTCTCACACAGAACGTGAGAGCAGCCCCGCTGGGTGAGCCCAAGGCCCAGCCCGTCCAGCGTGCAGGATCCATGCAGAAGGCCTGCTGCCCCAGCTCCTCAGCTACTGGCGTGTGCAGGCATGCAGCCTCTGATAAACGGGGTGCCACCCAGCCTGTAAGGCTGGTGGCCTCAATCACCTTCTGCTCCGGGAATGGGCCTGGCCCCCTTTCAAGTCCGCCCAGATTGCAGGCCATCACTTCTTCCTGCGCAGTGCAGCGCTGCGCAGTGTGGAGAAGCAGTGCCTTTTATCTCCCACTGCAATCAGAAATCGGCTTTCTGGGGTGACCACTTTGGGTTTGCATGTATGAGGGAGGGAGAAGAATGTCTCCCTCTCCACTTTCGCCACATCGGGCATGATTTGAACGCCTCTCATGCCTCCCCTTGCCCTTCCCCGCCTTTTGCCTGAGCAAAACGATCCCGGGGGTTGGAAGCATTCCTCGTGGGCTTGTTGCTCCAACACTGTGGTCAGTTTACTTGCCTTTTGGACTTTTTCCAGTTCAATAATGGTCTTTTTCAGGTGTGGTGACCAGAACCACACACACACAGTATTCTAAGTGCAGGTGCGCCAAAGATGTGTGTAAGCGGGGTAGGATCCTGGCAGTTGCATTTGCTATTCTATTCCTGATCATGCCTTTTTTGTAGCAGTTGTGCACGGGGCTGACGTTGCAGTGGAGCGGTGTGTCCCCCCACCCCCAGCGCCTTTCTCGCTCAGTCACTGCTAGCTCCGGCTCCATCGGTGTCGAGGTGAAGTGGGGATTTGGGGCCCCAACAGGCGTTCCTCTGCGCTTGTTTCTATGGAACTGCACTGGCCAGTTTGGTGCCGGTTCTCCCACCCTTTGGCAGCCCCGCCAGTCATCACGGGGCCTTTGGTGTGGAGCATGGGCACTCTGCTCCCCCGGCTCTGTCCCTCACACACGAGCACACACCTGGGGCAGGTCGCCGGGCCATGTGTTGTGCACCTAAGGCGGCCCGTTGGGGCTGCCTTGTACTCGCATGGGTGGCTTGTTTTCTCCCTGGGATCTCCCCTCCCCACATCAGTGAGCCCTGAGGAAGGCCCAGGCGAAATGGCTGCGGATGCACCCATGGAGGCTGAGATAGGCTTGCCCTGGAGAGATGCTGAGCGCCTTAGTCCAGACAGGACAGAGGTACTGCTGGTGGGAGGATCTTCTGTCCGGATGGGAGATGCCTTGCCTGTCCTGGATGGATTTGCACTCCCCCTAAAGGACAAACTTTGTAGCTTGGGGCACTGCTGGGCCCTGAATTGTCCCTGAATTCCAGGTGGATTTGGTGGCCAGGAGTGCCTTCTCTAGCTGCGGCTGATTTATCAGCTGTGGCCGTATCTGGACAGACAGGGCCTAGCAACTGCTATCCATGTGCTGGTAACCTTGCGCCTGGACAAAGCACTTTACATGGGGCTCTCCTCGAAGACAGGGGAGACTGCAAATGGGCCAGACTAGGGCAGCCAGACTGCTAATGAGGACTGGCAGATAGGAACATGTCTGCCATCTTCATTGGTTACCGATCGAAGTCCGGGCCCAGCTCAAAATGAGAACTCTTGTGTTTAAAGCCCTTAGTGGCTCGGGGCCAGAGTACCTAAAGGGGCGCCCCTTCCCATATGAACCTACCTGACCCTTTAGAGGGGCATCTGAGGCCCTTCTGAGGCAGCCCCCTCCTCAGGAAATAAGGAGGTGGCGACATAAAGAAGGGCCTTTCTTGCAGTGGCCCCCCGACTCTGGAACGAGCTCCCCAGAGAAGCTCACCTGGCACCATCTTTGCGCTCTTTTCAGCACCTGGTGAAAACCTTTTTATTCACTGGTATTTTAATTTTGAGCTAGTTTTCAGTGCTATTTTAACAGAAGGGGATGTGTCTTTTATGCATTCTGGAATTCTGCTGATTGCACTTGTTGTTTTATTGTCATTTTAGTGTTTGAGGTGTTTCTATTGTGTTGTTCTATACCATTTGGTACAGTGTTACTGTTGTAACCCGCCCAGGGAGCCGTGTGGTTAGTGGGGTAGGTGAGAAATTTAACAGACCAGCAAACCAACCAACCAAGCAACCAACCAGCAGACGGTGTGCTGTGTGCCAGGACTGCTCCCCACTTGCAGGGCAGACTGTGTGGGTGTGACACGGAGGAGCACGGCGAACGCCAACCGCAGTCCCTCCGGAAGTGGTGGCCAGTGGCCCTTTCCTCCTGCCGCTCCCTTGTTCATGAAATAAACTTTGTCCATCTCACCAGATTGTTTCAGGTTTTCTCCTGAGATACTGGCATGGCTGCCTTGAAGCACCTCTGTTGCCCCCTTCCCCGTTTCTTGGGGAACTCGCCAACACAAGCTGCTCTCGTGCACCCTCTGCTTTCCCCAGTGCTTCCGCCTGGAGCCCTCTGCGCAGCGTGGAGTGGCTGCCTGCACCCCAGTCCGCAGGAGATGCTTCCTGGCCGGCTCCTCTGGTGCACCAGTGCCGCCTGCCCGGCCCATGACTCTGCCTCCGGGGCCGCCCCTGCCAGCTGGGGCCCTGGCACTTCTCCCCATGCCATGCTGTTGCCAGCCTTTGGCCAAAAGGCAGCTTCGTGGGCACAAACATGACCTCCTGATGTACCCGGAGGAGAAGCAGAGCGGCCTTCTGGCCAGCAGAGAGGCCCCGTCCAAGTGCAAGGCGGCTGCAGTGGACCGGCTCGTGTCATCAGTGGGATGGGATGCGGATTTGCCCCAAAGCATCTGGAGTGTGCAAGAGGGCTGCTTGTGACCCCAGGGGAGGGGCTGCTGGGCGCATCACCCCGTTCTGCTGTGTAATGGCTGCCTCTCCTCTCCTCTCCTCTCCTCTCCTCTCCTCTCCTCTCCTCTCCTCTCCCCACCCAGCCTGCAGTGCCCTCTTCCAGCATGGCTCGTCGGTCGCAGAGCTCCTCGCAGGGGGACAACCCTCTGGATCCAAACTACCTCCCACCCCACTACAAGGAGTACTACCGGCTGGCACTGGACATGCTGGCCGAGGAAGGAGAGGAGAGCTACCACCGGTTCCTGGCTGAGGAAGGGGCCCCGGACTTCCTCTGTCCCTCGGAGGTGGAGCACATCACCCAGCACCTGCAGAAGCCCCAGTATGCCCACCAGGAGGGGGAAGGCGGCGAAGGAGGCGGCAGCACGGACTCTGGCCCACCCAATGCAGACCTGGACGGTTCCTCTGGAACTTACTGGCCCATGAACTCCGACCTCGCTGTTCCAGAGCTGGATCTGGGATGGCCAATGGTGTTTGGCTTCCGGGGAACAGAGGTGACAACACTTGTGCAGCCTCCACCTCCAGACAATCCCAGCATCAAAGAGGAGGCACGCAGGATGATCCGTGCGGCACAGCAGGTGAGAGATTAGATGTGGGTTGGACGAAAGCAGGGAGAACCTGCCGAAGCTGGCGGTGGGGCAGGAGGTACAACCCTGAAAAATGACTAAGTGTGGTGGTGTGGATGTCTGTCCTACAGAAGAGGTCACGTTGCTGCCTGCTGCAGGCCTCCTTTCCCCCAAGCCCCCTCTGCAAATCAGAGAGTGGGGACAGGGCCGGGCAAGGCAGGAGTTTGGTCTGCTGCTCCCCCTGAATTAGAACCAGGAGTGCTCGGGTGCACCCAGGCGGGGAGCGGGGAGATGGGTCTGGCTGCACAGGGCGTGGCTGTGCGTGCTGCTTGTGCCAGCCGTACTCAAGGCAAGCAAGACCTCTAAGTGGGCCCCACACATGGACCAGAATCTGGGGAGGCTCCCATGGAAGGTGCTCAAAGTCAGCCTTGAAGTTTGCCTGGAACTGCATGGCCAGCTGATAGATCATGTTGCCACGGTCTGAACCAGCCTGGATGTCCAGGCATTCTTCGGGGCAGCCCCATGTGGAATGGCTTAACTGGGACGCCACCCAAGCATTTACAGCCATGGTAAGCTCTTTTTTCAAGGTGAAGAAAAAGATGGCAAATCAGCCATCACTGACATTTCGGCTGGCAGCCACTCCCTCGGTGTCCAGGCAGGATGCTGAACGCACATGTACTGCCCAGACTGTCTTCAGCGGGGCAGCAGGCAAAGCCCTCCGACTCCTGGGTCCCTGCCCTGGACACGTCTGCCTCTTGCAGGCTGAGCTTCGGTTCGGTTCGCATCAAGCCCACTGCAGAGCTCTGCCTCCTTTGCTTCCTGCAGCATCCTGCACAGGCTCGCTAAGAGGGGGAGCCCGGAAGTACCTGCTAGGCCAGACCAGGACTCGGGAGCGAACTGGTCTCAGAGTTTTCTGTTTTTCAAAATGCAAGTCTCTAGCCCTGGTGGAAGCAGAGCTGTGAAGCGAATGTGCAGGGGCTGGTCGAACCAAGCGTTTGTGAGCTATGAACGTGTTCCTGCCTCTCAGTATGTCCCCAGAGAGGTCCGCCTGGCGCCGTCGTTACTTGTTTTTTGGCGCCAGGCAAAGACCTTTTTATTTAAGCGGCATTTTAATTGTTAATATTATTGGATTTTATCTGGCCAGGGCGGCTTATTTTATATTGGTAATTTTGCATTTTTAACTTAATGTTTGTATTTTTTAATTTAATGTTATAATTATTTTTTTTAACTTAATGTTGTAAGCCGCCTCGAGGCTTCAGCGAATGGGGCGGCATAAAAATGTTTTAATAAACAAACAAACAAACAAATAAATATGTTTAGCCAGCAAAAGAAGCCCCAGCTGTGGCTGTTGTTGGGAAAAGCCATGCTAGAGAAGACACCCCTACAAAAGCGGACGCTGTCCCGCTGGAGGACCCCAGGCCAGCTCTGCAAAGCAGTGCATTGCTATCATTTGCCAATTGCTGGGCAAGGGGGCTGAGGGAGAGCGAGCGAGAGAGGGAGAGCGAGAGAGAGAGGGAGAGCGAG